ACAGTACACGTAGCAAGGTGTATATATATATATATATACATACATACATACATACATACATACGTAATACATATACATATACATATACATACACACACACATATATATGTATATGTATATATATATATATATATATATATATACATATACACACATATACACATATATATACACATACACATACATATATAAACATACACACATACACAAATGTGATCAAATAAGGCTGTGAAAATAAATCTGCTTTGTTAATCCTTTTGATCTTTTATTAAAAAAAATCACAAAAATGTAACCTTTCATCGGAGAATAAGAATTTAAAATGGGGGGAAATATTATTCAGTCCAGTAAGTGTTCATCTGGAAATATGACTACTGATAAAAATCAGTCGAGATTTGACAGAAAAAAGACACGTGAAGCAGCAGCTGAAGCTGGACGTTTCTACAATTGCACTACAAGAGCTTTGACCTGTTAAAAAACTCTAAACTGTCAATCAGAGACAGAAAGCATGGAGTAGATTGAGTGCGACCGCTTTAACAGCATCATGTAGATCAGTTCGTGTGTTTAATGCTGTGGATGAACAGTGTGTGAGAGTGAAATCTCTTCTCCTGCTCCTGTCCTCAGGTCATGCTGGCGGCCTCCTATTGGTCTCTGCTGGCTCCTGCTATCGAGATGGCCGAGGAGTCTGGGAAATATGGCGACTTTGCCTTCTTCCCTGTCGCTGTGGGTTTTGCGCTCGGGGCTCTGTTCGTTTATATCGCAGACCTGATGATGCCCGTTCTGGTGAGTTGTGCAATCATTTCCAACATGCATTACAAACAGGGTCTCTAATAAAATACTGCAAATCTGCCAGTTGGTTCTAAATCAGTTTTATAATTTATGCAATCAAAAGTGTTCAAAGAAATCACTTTGCATGAATTTAAATGTTGTTTACGCAAGTAAATACAGTGTATTATTAATACATATAATAAAATGGTATTTTGGTACATTTTATTTTAGTGTCATTTGCTCTTAAAGTGTTTTTTAGGTTGTTTAATCCACATTACAACTATTGTTTTTATTTTTTTTAATAATCTCTATCATATATTCATACTCATTACATGGATGTGGTATGATATTGATGAGAATGATGCACAGTATATTAAGAATCTGTACTTCCTTCATCCCTCTCATGACTTGACATTTGGAAAATATCCCCTAAATTATTAAGATATGCAGATAATTGAGATATGGTTCCTGTGGCTCAGTGGTAGAGCATTGCGTTAGCAGCGCATAATCAGTCGTATAAATATATGGCATTCGTCTGTTCCCGTTCCCATTAATGCAGTGTCAGTCAATTATTTATTGCTACATCAATCACATAATGCTATATCAATAATACTTTTTCCCCCAATTGTATGATATAAAATTCATACATACTGGTAAAAAATGTATAGCCTGAATGCACTGTACGTCGCTTTGGATAAAAGCATCTGCTAAATGCATAAATTAAATTATACATTATAAAAATTAGATAATTAAAGTTCCTCGCTGCAATGAAACTGCTCACTGGAGTGCAGTCAGATGAGCTCTTATTAAATGGTAATTTCGTATTTATTGCAATTCTGCGATAAAAAGGCATTATCTTGAAAATGGGACATTTTGAATTGTACTAATTTAAGGAAAATCCTGCATGCAATGTATGTATGCACTTTGGAATAATTAAAAAGATATTTTATTTTTTTAATGTTTTTTCAAGAAGTCTCTTATGCTCACAAAGGCTGCATTTATTTGATGCATACAAAAATACTGTAAAAACAGTAATATTGTGAAATATTAGTACCATTTCAAATAACTTTTCTATGTGAATATGTTGTAAAATGTAATTGATTGCTGTGATCAAAACTGAATTTTCAGCATCATTACTCCAGTCTTCAGTGTCACATGATCCTGTTTTTGTGGAAAATGTGATACAATACCAGTGAAAAGTTTGGGGTTAGTAAGATTGAAAAAAAAGAAAGAAAATGAATAAAAACAAATTAAGAAAATGAATACTTTTATTAATCAAGGCTGCATTAAATTGATCAAAAGTGACAGTAAAGACATTTATAATGTTACGAAAAGATTTCTATTTCAAATAAATCTTCTTTTGAACTTTCTGTTCATCTGTGAATCTTGAAAAATGAAATGCATCACAGTTTCAACAAAAATATCGGTCAGCACAACTGTTTTCAACATTGATAATAATCAGAAATGTTTCTTGAGCAGCAAATCAGCATATTAGAATGATTTCTGAAGATCATGTGACACTGAAGACTGGAGTAATGATGCTGAAAATACAGCTGCGCATCACAATTACAGTTTAACAGATATTCACTTAGAAAACAGTTAGTTTTTACACACACACACACACACTCACATACTCACACTCACTCGCACACACGCACACACGCACACTCGCACACTCGCACACACACACACACTCACGCACACACACACACTCACACTCACACTCACACTCGCACACACTCACACGCACTCACACTCACGCACACGCACAAACACACACACACACACACACACACACACACACACACAACACACACACACACAGCAGGTACAGCACAGCATGTGAATGAGGACTGGAGGGACTTGAGATGATTCTTTTACCATCTTACATTTACTCCGATGACCTTCAGAAAGTTCAGCTCTTCCTACACACACTCTTTCATTCAGGTTCGGTCTGTTTTATCTTTTTTCCTTATTTCCCTCTATATCGTCTCTCTCCACTTCAATGCCATTTTCCACACAGTCTCACTAATGTCTTTCTTTGCATGCGTCTCTCATGCTGTCAGACTCACACACGCTCATGGTGCTGGATATTGATTCTGACAAGCAAAAAACATGATCTTGTTCATTTTACATCAGATTGACTGGCCCTCACGTACAGTACGCGTCAGAGTCTGATGTGATTGATATAACAGAAGCCGCTTTATTACTGTGTAGATGTCATGAGACTCTCAGGTTAACAGCTTGTGTCTCTCACACTAGCGTATATTATTCCATCATTACTGTATCTGTGAACGCATTAGCCCCTGCTGTTGTGTGAGACATGAGGATGAGAACTAGCTAACATTTCGTTTTCATTAAGCATGTGTGAATAACTAATAGTAGCAAGTTTGCTGGGTGGCCCTAAGCAATACTTCACCCAAAATAAAAATTTTCACACTAAGGATGATATTATTATTATTAGCCTATTATTATTATTATATATATTTTTTTATTTACTAAACGCATATGAATGTCTTTCTTGCACAGAGCATAAAATGAATACTTATATAATAAAATACTATAAATGTTTAGTATAATATACGTATGTGACCCTGGAGCACAAAACCAGTCATAAGGGTCAATTTTTCGAAATTGAGATTTATACTGCGCATTAAATATCGCATGCGATTTATCGTGCAGCCCTACATATTACACATATGCATACTTCTTTTTATATTTATTTTTATGTTTAGATTTTTAATGATTTAATATAATATTGAATATTTATATCTATATTTATTTACTTATTATAAAAATGGTACACATATTCGTACAGAACATTTCGGTACGGGTCTTTCGGTTCGGTGTGTTTTAACCACTGCACGAGTGGAACTTAATTAGAAACTTCCAGTTTAATATATTGTTACTTTTGATAAGAAACAAAGTCTCATCTTTCAAATTATGTCCATTTTTTTCAGGAAATTCATACAATGCATGCCAGTTTTGGTGCTCTGTGATGTGACAGCTTGTTGGTTTGCAACAGAAGTGAAGTCTAGAGAAGAGCATTTAGTGAAATATTGCACTATATATTCATATTTGACTTTACCTGTTAGTGATGTCTTCATTATTGAATGCATGTTTAAATAAATCTGTTATGAAACAAGTTATGACTTGTATCACTGTGTAAATGATTGTATTTCAACAACAAATAGGCCTAGAAATTAATGTAAAAACTGCGTTATGTGCAATTTACATGTTTACATTATTTGTTTGATTATTATATTTAAAAATAAATAGTAGCCTAATTAAATTTAAGTTTTGGGGTCTGTTGTTAACTGTAACCTTATAGTAATGTAAAAGGGCTCCCTATTTAGAGCATAACCTAAGGTAGATTTTAACCTTAAGAAAATTTTAATTGTAATTGAATTTATTTAAAGAAAGAGCAATTTGACACACACACATATATACACACAGTATATGTACTCTATGTGTGTGTGTGTGTATATATGAGTGTGTGTCAAATTGCTCTTTTTTTTAATTTTGATTAATTTATTAAATTCACGGGCAACAGCTCTGGTGGACATTCCTGCAGTCAGCATGCCAATTGCACGCTCCCTCAAAACTTGCG